CATTTTATTTTTCTTTCTTAAATTATAATTGCATTTTCCCCCGGCATATATAAAACTAAACATAAGACATGATCTGGCCAGTGTTTCTTTAAGAAAAAATGCTCTGGGGGTAGAAGAGATAGAAGGCAATAAAATCGATTGGTGAAATTTTCAATATCGGCTTAATATTATTGGTGCAACGTAAAATTTAAATACATAGGTTTAAATGCACTGTTTTTATACGGGTTGTGACTGATTCGGTTTGGGGGGCAATACTCCCCGACCACTCTTCTGAAAGAAACACCGTATCTGGCCCCTGATGGTGTTCTATAAACTAAATTTGGCCCTCGAGATGTATTAGGTTGGCCAACGCTGGTCTAGATAATGTGGGACCCTCAACGTCTCACAACCCTATGGGCCTCCGCTACCTGTTACGGGGATAGCTTTACTTTTTTTTTTACAACAAATTATGAAAGTATACAAATAAACTGTTTACATCGAGGTCGTGTATCTATGGCACAACACGTTTCGATCTCTAATGGGTCATCATCAGTTGTTATTTCGTGTTAAGTGCTGTATTTGTAACCAATATGGATAAATATGTCAATTGTATACTTTCATAATAAATTGTTGTGTTGACTGAAAAATACGAAATAAAGAAATTATGTGTTTACAACGTAACATATGAAGAATGACGATCCACGTTCAGAAATCCATTCCTACATGATTCATTGTTGGGAACAGACCATGAAAAGAGTATCACAAAGCGCTCTGAAATTAAGTAGGCGTTGTTAACATGCATTTCCAGCCACGATTTTGCTCGCCATTTCAGTGCCAGCTTCCAAAGTAGCTTAGTATTCCCGTCCATAAGAAACCGAGCAAACTGGCTCAAGTGGTACCGCTTCTGATTTGTGTTCGAGAAGCAACTATCAAGACTAGAGTTTCTGGCGATTTTCGTGAGTGCCTCCACGCGAATGCCAGGAACGATACTGCGACCGCCTCATTTCAAGTCCTCTAGAGTTCATGGTCCCACTCGACCTAATGGCCTGCAGTCTGATCTACTGACGACGTTATGATACGAATGAAAAAACGAGCCGACAAAGAACTCGTAAGGACAGAGACTCGTCTAAACATATGCGAGTGCCATAAAAATGCCGAAATATAGGCCTAATCGTTCCTTCACTCACTCACTCACGGAACACTCCTTTGTGGGTTGTTCAACAACCCTTCCAGTAGCAAGGGTATGGAGCAGCAAATGGATGAATGACAGATAAATGACGAATTTGAAAGGATTTGGAAGGAGGTAGTCATAGTCCAGCTGAAGTATTATCGTGGCATTGGCTAGAGCAGCCGAAGAAACATCGAAAAATCACAATTAGGATGGCCAGTGTCCTATCCGAGTTTTGAAGACAGCACTTCCCAAATACAAGTCTATAGAGTGTTGCTGCCAGACCGACCCGCCCAGTCATAGAAGTATTAGTGTAATGCTCAATTGTATAATTTCCTCCATTACGCAATAGGTAAATTCTTTTATTTCCATATATTTTCCTGATAATGTTATTTTATGTATTTCTGGTATATGGCATATCTACTACTATGATGACACTCAAATTGCTCTAAAACCTCTAAGTCTTTCTCTAAGTATTTGATCTTAGCTGGCATATACCCTCAAAAATCAGAGACTCGAAAAACTGCATAATTGCAATGATGAGGAGCTTCATAATTTGTACTCTTTGTCAATTGAAATTATAATTATCAAGACAAGGAGGATGAGATGGGTGGGGCAGACAGCATGCATGGCTATAGGATTTTGGTGGGAAAGCCAGAAGGAAAGAGACGACTAGGAAAATCTAGATGTAAGTGGGAATGTAATATTTAAACAGATCTAAGAGAAACAGGATGGGGTGATATGAATTGGATTTATCTGGCTCAGGATAGTGACCAGTGGTGGGTTTTTGTGAACACTGTAATGAACCCTCAGGTTCTGTAAAATGTTGGGAACTTCTTGAGTAACCAAGCAGCTGGTGGCTTCTCAAGGAGGATACTCCATGAAGTTAGTTACTTATGGTATATACACATATACCTCAATTATTAACGATTGAAGATATGTTTGTTGCAGTTTGTTGTGTTGGTTCTTGTTACCACATCGTGGGGTCAGCAGTTCAACTCTTCTCCAATCCAATCATTGGCCCAGCACCAGGTTACTTCCTCCCAAAATGCCAAAAGAAGTGGAAATCAGAAACAAGAATCCCAAATTGTACCAACAGAACAAAACCAGCTTTCATCTCGAGAAATGATTCCATTTGGCTCTGTTCAAACATTTCAACACAGCAGAGAGAACAATGGAGATGTTCAACAAAGGTACAAGCAGCCAGTGCAATTCAAGATACGTAATGGAACAGTTTCTCGTACTACTATAAGAAATGCTGTTAATGACCCAGTTCCTGCTACTTTGGGACATCAAAGGGCTGATGAACAACATACTGTGCAACAAACCCAAAACTTTCAGAAAATTTCAATTCAGAGACCAGCACTTAAGCCATCAAATCAGACTTCTCCAACAGTATCTTTCCAAACATCTCAGGTGGGTCTACAGTCTCTGTCTTCCCCCTCTGCTCAACAGGAAGTGCCACTCTATATACAGCCATTCTCTCTTGCGCATCAGCAAGCAGTTCAAAATACAAATCAGGGAACTATTCTAACAAAATCTACCTCAGTGCCACAAACAGCCAAACAAGCAAAGGAGCTTCAGAGTAATGAACTCAATAGGCATGTTCAGCAGCCAGTTTCACCACTCCATCAACCTCACTTACCTCAAAGAACTACTTTTGTACATACCTTCCCAACTCAACGATCATCCACCCAGATCCAGCCACTTCAACAGCAGCAAATTCCTGGAAATAGGTTTCCCTCTCAAACTCAGAATGTTCAGCATGAAACAGTTCATGGCATTAAAGCACCTCAGTTACAGCAGCAACAAAAACCTCAGAAGAAAGTTGTGCAGAATCAACAGAGAGTAGGTCAAACTGCTCTCAGTTCACAGGAGGAACTTTTTCAGAAACAGGCTAGAAATGCAAAATATTCCTTCAATTCTGCAATAAATGATAACATCATGGACAACACTCAGATTCGTCAAGAGGAGCGCAATGGTCTTGAGCTATTTGGTTACTATTCATACAGTGATGGATTCTACAAACGCACTGTCCACTACAAAGCTGATGAGCATGGCTACCGTGTAACAAAGTAAGTACTGTCTTGTTTGTAGGCCTATCTTCAATCATCATTTGAGTATTCCACCCCTATGTCACATTCATGATGCACTATTTAGTCTAGCTGGTGGTTCAGTATCAGTAAGTTTGCAATTTAACGCTAGATATAAAGAACATCTACATGATATTAGAAATAATAATTGCAATTCCGGGTACTCAAATCACCTACTAAATATGGGACATTCATACAGAACAATAACAGACGTAATGGAAGTTGTAACAACGGGAAAAAAGGGTAAACATTTGAATACATTAGAGAAATACCATATATATAAAATAAGTAAGAAAGGCCTACAAATGAATGACACACACATAGAAACATACAATCCCATATTTCAAACTATATACGAAATCTATACAAGCTAACGGTACCTCCCTCCCCCCACTACCCATTCCCCCTCCAACACTCACGAAC